GACTGCCAAGCACCAGCTGGCAAGACTGAATTTTGCGCGTGCAAACATAGCGACTTCGTGGGACAAGGTGCAGTTTCTTGAGGTAATTGTAAAATCAGAAAGTCAACATCTTATGCGCATTTCTTTCTTAGGTTATATTCACTGATAGGAAAAAGTCAATCTCGACAGTCCAGATGGATATCAGCATTACTGGAAAGACCTTTGTAGCGACCCGTTGATGTTTTCGAGACTGAATTTCGGAGGCGCCCCTCTGATGGTACGGGGTGGTTATGGAAGCAGAGGAAATTTGGAGCTTGCCTTCCCATCGTGCTGTGTGAACAGTGAGCAATACCAAGGAGTGCTTGAGTCTAACCTCTTGCCTTTTCTGAGCGGGCCACGATGCAGGACGCATGTGATGCAGCAGGACAACACGGCCGTGAATATTTCAAATTCTACTAGAAAATGGCTCCAACGCAATGGTATCAAAGTGACCGTTTGGCCGGGGTGTTCTCCTGACAACCGAAATCCTGTGAGGGATCATGGTTTGACGAATCTACATGAACAGTCGGCAGTACAACAGCGTGCGGGACTTGAAGGAGGCAGCAGATTCTGCATGGGAGGAAATCGACGAAGACACCATGACAAATCTTGTCCACATCAGCCAGACAGTATGCTCGAAGTAAAAGTGAGCGTTGGAGGAAAGACGAACTTCTATTTCCCACGAAACATTTCTTTTTTAATAGTTTTGTTATTAAGAAACTTTTCAAAACCATAAATAATTGTACAGAGTTCACAAAGTGGTCAGAAGTAATGTATTCCTATGTATCTGCTCATGAGAAATTCAACAGTAGAGGTCTCATATCGCAAAATTCAAAGGTAATTTTGCAGGACAAAATAGAGGTGTCCACATACTTTTGATACGCGCTGTATTGGCTTTCTTCGGTCTCCAGATGGAAGAGTTATTACCCAGAAGCTGAACTATCATCGCATGTTTTTGAAGTTTCCGCTTCTGATTGTTCCACTGATGGGGGTTTCAGTTGCAAATGATGGTTACTCTATGATGGAAGACTCGGTATGGTTTGATCTTTGGGAAATATTTGAATTACTCTCTAGATGGCTAACTTGCTCGTCAGTCACACCTGATGAAGTTCTGTTTAAGATCATGAAACTTATTTTAGCACAAAGTTCCTTTCCCATGGATATCTTTTCAACCTTATTTTCTTTCGAGCAGAAATTCCTCATAGACTGTGGCGTTCCTTTGTCATTCCCCTAAAAAAGAAAGCCCCCTCTTCACGATCCGCACAACTACTGCCCATCAGAAGTACTTCTCTGTTTTGTAAGGTTTTTGAAAAATTAATGAAGAAGAGGATTGAATGTCATCTAACTGAACCATGTTTGCCGGGTTCCCAGCATGGTTTTAGGAAGGGTAAGTCTACAGAGACACAGATGCTCGCACATTCAATGAGTGGATCCGCGCTTTGGATTCTGGGCAAAACATTGATGTTGTTTAATTGGACTTTCATAAGGTTTTTGATAAGCGCGTTCTCATGTTCCGATCCTTCACAAACTGAAACACATTGGAATTCATCCTGGGATTATCACTTGGAACATGGCTTTCCTTCATTCACGCACATTTCAAGTTACAGTAAACCGCAATTCGTCTTCCGCTAGGGGGGCCATTAGTGGTGTTCTCCAGGGAGGTGTTTTATCTCCCTTGCTATTTAGCATTCACGTTTATGACTTTCCTTTCGCCGTACAAGAACATGGCATCAGTTGCAAGTTGTCTGCAGATGACATTGAAGCCTTCGGTAGATTTGAGACTGAGTTCAACTACTGTTCAATACAAACCGAGATAAATAATGTATTTGAGTGGTGTTCATCTCGGAAACTTCCTCTTTCACCGCCCCAGTCGAAAATTCTCCATCTTGGTAGCACTAATCCCCATCATACCTACTCGATCTCTGGCATATCTCTTGGAAAAGTCTTATCAGTGAAAGATCTTGACTTTATAGTAGATAAGAATCTTTCTTTTGATAAGCACTGTAGAACTATGGCTAATAAAGCTGAACATAGACTTTTTCGTTTGTTCAGGTCAATTGCAGTCAGGATTCCCTCATTCTTATCCGAGCATACATGACCTATATGTGCGGCATATGTTATAATATGGTACTTGTGTTTTCTCTTCATGTCGAAAATGCTTGTTGCTAGAACTGAGCGTGTCTAAAGTAGTTGAGCATGTCCAAAGTAGCTTCACGTGAAAGCTATTCGTTTGCTCATTGGGTTTCTCTTACAGTAGTATATCTCGCGGCTTTATTTTAAGTAACAACATGCTCGTCTGGACTCCCTTAAGCTTGCGAGACGTAAACCTGTTTTTTATGGTTTATAAAATATTACACGGTACAGTGGATATTGAATTCCGGGATTTCTTTCAACTAGCTTCTTCCACTACCAGAGGTCAAAAGCACAAAATCATTCTCCATAGACCTCGGTCTTTGTTGAGGGCAGCTTCTTCACTCATAGGGCTGGATCAGGCTCAATAAGAAAGTGCAGGCGCCTGCGTCTCTTTCCGCCTTCGAAAGGGTTGTAGGTCATTATCTAGGATTCTTCAAGATATGTATTCCGGGTTGTGTTGCATCTTTCTCCTATATTTATGCTTGCGTTTTCATTGCGCCGTTCTTCCACACTGTGTTTTTCTCTATGTCTTAACTGGTTCTTTTTGATGGATTCGCTAGAACTGAAGTGAATTCTGTGATTAGTGGATCGTTAGTTGAAAATAAGGAAAAGTTGGCACAGGTAGGCTTAGGTAGGGAATACTCCAAAGGACTTCGGACGCTTGTTGTATGGGGTAATGCGTGCCAGTCAGAATGGATGCTTCAGTCTGCACCATAGAAGATAAGATATCCAAACGTTCTGCCCTAATGAACGAGCACTCCGACTATATCAAATTAGTGCGGAGAAAATCCAAGCGGTAATCAGTTTCTGCTTCGTAAGACTTACAGGTTGGAGGGCTGTTCACTGGCTGCTACAGAAACTTTAGGAAAAAACATAAGTGTTTGTTCCCGCTCAACCCATCCATTCCGAAATGAACTAGAGGCTATGAAAAGTATTTTCAGAAACCTGACATAAAACGAGTAAAACGATACCGAGAGCAAGGTTCGCGAAAGCGTGGGTTGAACGGCAATTACTTTTCCTCTCCCATGATCAGAACAGAGTGGGGCTGGGTGGTGATTCCTAAAGGGGGAACATACCCATCGTATACCTTCCGTTTCAGATAAAGTTAGCAACTCAAGTGGAAGTCTGAGAAAATCTGGTCTAAAAACACTGTTACATGTGGAAACGCCGACCAACAAGTCCCGTTTCGGTCGCGACCATCGGTCACGTGTATCGGCCGTATTTGGTTCATAATATTAATGGAAACACTTTCGAGGTCACGGTAGAGAACCCTGTGGACGAAACTCGAATTCGGTGCTTGCAGAACCCAAACCCTAAAGGCATTTAGGACTCAGGTCTAAAAGTCAAAAACAGGATAAAGAAAGCTTAGAGCTCCCTTGCCGGGACAATTCAATTCTGCAATTTACAGTCCCATTTCCGAAAATCTGCGTCACTGTGCTCATTGTTCGCTGATCTAGCTAATCTAACAACGCACGGTGCCTAATCTCAAATGAATGCTTATTTGCTGGAAAGAGTGCAGATTAGATGCGAGTAGGATTTGGTTGAACAGTTGGAACTTAAGTTACGTTATCTGAGGTATGCAGAAGGATAATTCGTCAAAACGTTAGTCACTAAACTATATTGAGAAACTGGTGTTGGCACTATCTTGAAACACAATACAGTTTTATAGATCAGCTTTTGATTGACCGCTGAACAAATAGCTTTTCTCTCTCAAATCTAACAAGGAAAGGATGGTAGGTCGAAGCCATTTGAAATGAAATGGTATACCTACTAACTTTGGATGGGGATTACGAAACCGTCTTCTATATCTGCTGCGGACGCCCCTGATGAGATCGCAGCAACGCGGCCGAGTGGATCCGTCGTAGGGCTCACAAGTGCGTGGGCGAGGGTTTGAATCCCTGATGCGTGTCCTCTTTGCATTTTTCGACAGTGGTCCCTGTGCACTTCAAAGCGATTTTGCATAACTGTTGTGCTTGAAGTCAAGACGTATGTTTCTGAACTGATGGAGCCATTGTGGACAATGCTATTTTCCGGCTGTTGACTTCCTCTTCGATGAACTTGAAAAGCATATTTTTCACAACAAAAGAGCACTCCAACGTATGAGTTTGCCCTGGAAAATGACTTTATTCTCCAAACGACATGACTGGAAACCGAATCCGAAACCGCATGAAGTAGTGCGAGATGAGTACAAATGGAAAATGCTTTCACATGACATGGCGTTGATGTGGCAATCATGCGGAGATCGTGAAGGACAGAATATGTTAATCGCTCACATAGTGCTGAAGGATGTAGCATCCCAGAGTGGTGCTTTCGCGCCTGCTAGAAGTTCTCGACTCATATGACAATCTCGTTAGCCTTTGAGAAATGTTCTCCGCAAAATCGTTCGCAATGGCTCCATCAGTTCAGAAACATCACGTCATGACCTTATCAAGCACAACAGTGATGAAAAATCGCGTTGAAAAGCACAGGGACCACTTTTCAAAAAATGCAAAAGAGCACACGCATCAAGGATCCAAATCCTCGACCACTCCCTCTCTTGAACCCTACGACGTAACCACTCGGCCAGGCTGCTACGATCGCCTTAGCTTTATGCCGCGAATTCGTACTGAATGCAAATATTCTCCCCTGAAAAGCTCAGTAATTTTTTCCGGGAGGTCCGCAGCAGATACGGAAGACGGTTTCGTAATCCCCGTCCAAAGGCCTTTTAGTAGGTATACATTTCATTTCAAATGGCCACTTCGACTTACCATACCTTGTAAAGAATTTCACTCTTATGATAAGAGCTCGAACAATCACAGAAGTAACAAAGCTGCCCTTGCAGAGAATTAGCGAACCAGTTTACCACCGAGCTATATCTGCGAAGTATTCTTAAAAAACGTCGTACCGTCCACTCCCACGAAGTTATTAGCATCATTATACTCTGATGTCATGGCAGGAAAGAGATCAGATATGGGAATCTCAGGTTGAATTATAGCCTCGGAACGAGTTTGTTTGAGATGTTTTATTGCAACGCGATAATATCCAAATGCCACTTGATCGCACCATCCAGAATACTGAAATCAGTTAACTTCATACATAGATGAAAGAAAAAACCTCACCAGAAAAATACGCACTGTGCTGCTGTTCTTGTACGATATGTCCCTAGTCGCTGGATCAATTCTTGGTGGATACTTTTGAATCATATTTTGGTTGTCAACCCGCCACAATGCACAGTCGTCTCGAAACAGGTCTGCTTTGCAAACCACAAACGTTCCTTTCTTAATGAAAAAACTGCTCTTGCTTGAAGATGAAAAGCTCACAGTAAGGCAACATGGAGGGAAAAACCGCACCGGTAAGTGTCCATCAGCCTGGCCAAACATCGACAATCGTGCTTTCACGAGCTCCGTGTTGAAATCACAGGCTGACTGAACGAAGTGGGAAGGAACGCTCATCTTGTTTTCACCTGGAACACGTAATCATATTTTCCGGGCCCCAGAATTTTCAATCAAGGGATTTGTGTCTGCGCACAAGTTGCCAATGTTGTTCATGCCGTTTCTGCTACATCACCACAGTAGGATATATGAGTGAACCGATGAAATAATAAAATTGTGTGGATAATAAGACTGAGGTAACACTCATCTTTTGAAACAAACTACTCGCAGTGGCTGGAATATTTGTTCACTTGATCAGCAGGTAATGAGTGTAAAGGGCACCTCGGACGTGGGAACGCCACTGATCAATGAAGGTCTTTCGAGATTTTTTGAGCTCGAGTAGTTTGCAGTGGATTAGCCATGCATTCCATAATCATTTTACTTCTCACCATGTTCACAGCTTACCACCTCGAAACATCCTCACGAAACAAGCACGAGACTTTGATCCATTAGAAATCAACTTTGTCAAGTACCCATGAAGGTCTCCTTATTACCCAGCTTTGTTTCTGCCATGTATACATGTTCACAGTTGTTTTATATTGCTCACCCCTTGCTATCAATCGATGAATGGTCGACTTTGGTGATTGATTATGCCATTGATCGGCTTCGGTACGGCAGCGGAGTCTCGAGCGTGGGAAAGGCTATTCACTGGTTAAACTACGCCCCCAGTTGGCGGTGCGAAGGGCACTATGTAAGCGGGAGGGGGTCGTCGCGGAGTGTACTTGGTGAGCTTTCTTCAGAGAGAAAAGTGAACTCAGCGCTGCCACTTCCAAGAAGACAGCGTATAGCTTTTGGCAAGCTATACGGGCTAGACGTGACGTACCAGACGCGGTCGGCTCGACACAAAGCACCAGGGGTACGGACGGCACCCTGGACAAGCCAGCCTCCTCCGGGCGCAGCCACCTCACACTCCACGCATTCGGGCTTGGCCGCGTGTCGACCGTCAGGACTTGCAGACCACGGTACATATATATATATATATATATATATATATATAGATATATATATATATATATATATATATATATATATATATATATATATATATATATATATTATAAATATATATTATATAATATATATATATATATATATATATATATATATATATATATATGTTATATCAAACTTTGTGACTGCGTTGACTGACGGTCCAAAACCGTGAATATCCTGCATTTACCGTATTGTCTTTTAGGATTCCGAAACTTAACAATTTCAGCCACTGGCCACCATTATGCACTGCCACCAGGTCCACTTCGGAGGCCGAGTTGGACGCTACCGAACAGCCACGGCCTGACAGCCTAGTTCTTCTTGACATAATAGCTGAATTGCCACAATCCGAAGGCGATGCGAAAGGTTCGTAGCAGAACCAACACTTTACCGACGCAAACTACATTGCTCAGGCAGTATTCTTGCCTTTTTCAAGGTATGAAGGCATGAAACATCATCCGTTGTCGCATTCAGGATGATGAAGTCCATGCGATCGACATCGTTACTTCCCGGCGGCGGACTCTCTAGAAACGCGGCAACTGCAGTCTCAAAGACAGCGTGCACCATAATTCGGTTCACTGCACAGAAGAGGTACATGCACTAACTAGAAGTAGGCAACGAACTGACCGAAAACGCCCGAACTAGGGCCCTGTTCAACCATTTCAATCAAGAAGTGGACGGGCATATCCCTGAGACATATCATCGCTGGTCATCGACTGATGGAAAAAAACCAGGGTGATTGCAGCTTAGACTTAGAAACAACATGATTACAAGCTGCAGCAAAATTCAGTGTAAAAAACAAAAAAAACGAAAACCAGAACACACTAAATACAGACTCGCAGGAATCATCAGATCACAAAACAACAAGAGGATGAAAAGGTGCTCCTGGAGGCAGTAATATTTAACGTTGCACAGGCCAGCCCTATTTGTAAACTTAACCTTCAACCATTTCAACGTGCAACTCGAATGCATGGCGTCCACACAGAACAGACCAATCCCCCAATTCAAAGAGAACTCCTCAAGTACACAAGATCTCCAGATTAGTTTTGGTGCAATGGCACAGAGCTAATTGAGCTCTTGGCTGGCTCAGAGGTTCTCCCATCAAAACCATTGAAGTACCAGTTTTGCTCTATGAAACTATCAGCGTTTTCCGTCAGAATTTCTCGAAATTGGAAACATTGCGAGAAAGATGGTACAATCACAAAACAATGGACATAATGATTTGAAATGTTTTCTGTTGAAAAACACGGCGAATCTTCTTTTTGGGAACTTATGATTGTTGAAGAAAAGGTACTTGCTATCGAGAAACCCTAACCCTAAAAGTAACCTGCACTAATGGATAATAGTAGCATGAATCCCGAATTTTAACAGTGCTGGAAGGGGGTTGTGCTTGTTTTGAAATGAGGGAGTCATAATGACACCGCCATTTTTGTCGTTCCGACGTTGTGCCCTGGTCAGCTGTCAGCGACATCAGTCAATATCGAAATATCGTATAGTACGGTAAATAAGTCCGCCTTTATTTAGGTTCGTGCGACATCCCGATCGCCACACTGAAGGGAGTCCCGTTATATGCTCGCGCGCGCTGCGATCGGGGTGCCGCGCGGCGCAGACTTAATCTAATGGCGGATTTATCTACCCGCTTCATAGTATGTTTTATTGGACAGGTATCTGGCCCCGTATTGACGATGGTACGTTCAACTGATAAATGATGAAAGTGATGGAATAGAAACATGAACTTATGAGACGATAGAGATATTATATTGCTAGATAAAAGAAATGATGTGTTTAGCGGAGAACGGGTTTCGGATACATAATGAAGAAGCACAGCCGTAAAATCCGATAGACTGATACAGAAATCAGTCAACGCTCACAACACGTACGACAAGGTCAGCTTTTACGCCGAAATCTAATTGAAAATTTCATCCGTGCACTTTATGACTAAATGAAACGAAAGGAAATCCAAGAAAATCCAAGAAGAGAAAACCAGACTGTTTTTCTCGGGTAACACAGTGAGGGACCAACAAATTACACCTAAGGAAGATTCCCTAATCGAATCCTACTCAACAAGTGCGTGTGCACCATCAAAGCCGGGCATCAGTGACGGCGTTGAAACTGGCGTTCTTCGTTGTTCAGTGTCGACATCGAGAACTGTTGGCAGACCACGGCTGAGTGATTATGTGGTCTGACGTGGCCCACACGTGTTCTTACAAGAGAAGAGTGGTAGGTCGAAGTGGCCATTTGAGATGGTATGTATACCGACTGAGAGGATTTCGGACAGGGATTACGAAACCGTCTTCCATATCTGCTGCGGATTTCCCAGAAGAAAGTTAAGGAGCTTTTTCAGGGGAAGCACACTCAACTTAATACCAATTAGCGGCGTCGGGCTTTCCTGATCCGGTGTGGCCAGGTGGGTACGTTGGTCCCACAAGCACATGGTCGAGGGTTCGAATCCTTTATGCGTGCTCCCTTGCATTTTTATAATAGTGGTCTCTGTGCACTAAAATACATATCTGCATAACTATTCTGCTCGACTGACGTGACGCTTGTTTCTGTTTCGTAATATTTCTGAAGGAATGAAGTCGTAGTGGACGATTCTACGGCGAACAATTTTGGCTGTTGATTTCATCTTCCATTGCTTCTTCATTTATGATCTAGGAACAAAAATGGTAATTAGGTAAAAAATGATGGAAACAAAAGAGTTTTTCGCAGTCCCCGAAAGAGATCGAGATAACGAACTGCCATAAGCAGGCTTATACCTTTTCTTGTGAGACTTCTTTATCACCGAAGAGAAAACATTCTTCACTCCTGGAATGTTGAATAGATTCATCGTCGTCATAGTCACACGTCCACAAGGGATCTATTGCGTTGTATTCAACGGAATTATCTTCTTCACAATCCACAAGCAGGACGCCATTCTCTGCCTCGACTCTGTCACGCGTCCTCTACTCGCGCACAACTTCGTGATGTTTCGTGTCCAGTCGAGTCGTTTGGAGGATCGAGCCATTTTTCAGGGCAAATTCATGCGTTACAATGTAGTATTATTGTGAAAAATAAGCTCCAAAATAATAAAAGATGATATCAACAGCCAAAATTGTTCGCCGAGGAACGGTCCACTGCACTCTTCCTTCAGAAACATTATGTCACTGCATTATCGAGCAGAATAATTACGCAGAAATGTTTTTTGGTGCACAGAGACCGCTGTCATAAAAATACAAAAGAGCGCACGCATCAAGGGTTCGAACCATCGACCATGTGTTCATGAAACCGTACCCACGCCGCCAATCGAGAGAGTCCGACGCCGCTATTGAGTGTGAGTGTGCTCAGGTCGGCAGCAGATATGGAAGACGGTTTCGTAACCCCCGTCCAAAGACCTCTCATTCGGTAAACATCTCATCTCGAATGGCCATTCCCTACCATCCTTCCCTTGTTAGCAAAGAACCGCAGTGTATTAAACGACTGACTTTTTTACGGGACTACGAAGACAGGCGCCAGAATGTTCTTTGCACAGCGACATTCAAACGACGAAGTCGGACGTCATGGAGTTCTTCGAAAGATCCTCTTTCTGAGGTCGCCTCCTGAAAAAATAAGGTATCACCAAGTCAGGTTTCATGCAAAACGGACGTCCGAAAGGGTTTCAGGCGGCGCGGTGAAAGATAATCTGGCCCGCAAGGGCAGAGCATCGAGCACTGGTATTCCAGTAGAAAACCCGGATTACGTTCGCTGTTGCTTGTTAAACCTTCCGTCTGATCAGTGCTTCTTTGGAAGTAGCTAGAAAAGTTCTGATTCTGCTTCGTGGATGAGGAGAAGAACAGACGTTGATGGAGGTGTGTTCGATGAAAATCAGCGGATTTCCTGTTGCGTTGAGATTTTCTTCATTATTCCGATTGCAGCCTCTCAGACATGGACTCAGATGATCCATGTCTTACCTCAGGCCATTCGAAGATGAGTCAACTATAAGGCAGCGTTCATACTTCGCGACAGCAGCGGCGGTCGCGGCGATCGCGGCAATCGCCGCGATCGTCGGTGCATGG